GGTTGGACTAGATGACCCACAGAGGTCCCTTCCAACCCCTACTATTCTGTGATTCTGTGATTCTGTGAAAATGCAAAAGAAGGATCCAAAAGTTGCTGAGTGGGGGGAAGGAAGTGAAATCGTACACTCAGAAAGAGACAGAACATGACTTTGTGGATCTTACTTTCTTAGGATACCAGGCTGATGAGCCAAACTGTCCAAATCCCGTGTTTGAGGTTCAGAGGCAAGACAGAGTGATGTGTAGTACAGTAAATGACAAAGACAGGGAGCTGGTGCTGGGGTACAGAGGCCTCCTAACTGGAGATCAGGAGCTGCACAATTGTGAATGCTTTGACAAAAAGCCAGGGATTTTGCTACAGTCATCTCACTGGCTGTGCGGAAGCAGCTGTCATGCCCAAGCACGCAGCACACCTTCAGCCACAAAATTTTCATTGTTTGTATGGTCATAGACTGCAACAGTGCATGCTGGCAGTCAGATGACTTTCCTGTGGAAATTAAGCTTTTGTGCTCTGAAGGCAGCTCTCCTCATCAAATTCCCTGTCCTTCCCCTCCAGTCCTTTCTGATTAAACAGCCAGCATAGCAAATGTCATTTAGTAGCATCTCTAAACACACTGTACAGCAAAGAGTGTTTTAAAAAATAAAAACTCTCCAGCAAAGTATATCCCAGGAGTAATATTTAATCGACAGGCTGACAAAACAAACCATGCTTGTTCATACATCTGTCTGTCATTTGCTACATAATTATGCATCATTCAAGGGGATTAGAGAAAATATGGTTTTCTTCTAGAAAATCATGGCTTTACATATTTTGACTACTGGATTAAGACAGTTATATTCTTGTCATTCCACCTTTATCTCTGACATATAAACATTTATTCAGTCCTATTCGCTTCATTTTGGAGCATCAAAAAAGAGTAAAAGGCCAGTCAGGTACTTCAGAAACAGGGAGTCATACTTTCCAAGGACTGGTGATGTTCAAAGCAGAGACTGACACATGACAGACACTGAGAACACTGCACTGACACTGTATAGTTAAATTTAGAGAGTCCTATAAGAGAGAACAGCTTTTTACTCTTGAAGCTACTGGCTTTAATTGGAATGGTGTCTTTCAGAGAAGAATCATTCAGCCCAAAATGAACAGGAATTTAAACAGACAAGGCACCTGAGGGTAAACTGTCCACGTAGTACAGAAACCACATCAGGTGCAGATCTACTAAGTGTTTCAGGATTAAGCACACTAGGATTGGGAACCTGGTTACATAGCCGGGACCTCGGCCCCAAGGAAGTGTCCCTACGGTTACAGGTTTGCACACACAAAACTGACGCATGAGGAGCCAGCAAATGGAAAATGGCTGCAAACCTGTTTGGATCAAGGTGCCCAGCTTTGCACAGGATTCATGACAGCCAGCATTCTCCTCCTGGGATGTGTGTAATGCAAGTTGGTCTTGGGCTTTAAAAACACAGGAAAACTCAGATCAACCCAGTACTGTCAAGCCAATCCTGTCTGTGATGAGTAGTACACAGGGACAAACCCTTTCCTGTTGGGCTTATGTCTAAGCCTTAGCAAACCACAGTTTCAGAGCAGAACCTGTGGACTGGGACCAGTGTTAACCTGACGAGAGAAATGTGGCTTGGAAACTCTGCTGGAGCTCACCAAGGTCTTGGCATTCAGCATCAGGAAGTAAAGGGGACTTCGGTCATGTGAAAAGTTAAGTGGCAGAGGAACTACTTTTTAAAGGTCTTAGAAGCACGTAGATGTCAAATATGGATGCCTTGCATGGTAATCACAGATAGTTCAGGTCTTTTCTGGTTTTCCATAGTGCATCCAGCTTATTTCTCTTCAGTGACTCGTGGGATGCTTCAAATGATGTCAGCAAGGCTACATGCAGTGCAAAATGTCTTCGACTATGATTAAGTGCTTAAAAAATGTCTGACTTTAAACATAAATGTAAGCATGTGCTTTGTTGATCTGGAACCCTCGTTTGTGTACATATACCACAGAAGATGAAGACCCCTTATTTCAGATAGTATTGAAAATGTTACAGGGTCAAGGGATTGGTTTGATTGTACTTCTGATTATTGCCCTGGTCCGGTCAGTGGGACTGTGGTACCTCATCTATGTGCCATACTAAAGACTAGCTGTTGTACAAGGACAGAAATAGAGAGGAAATTTAAATTAATTCAAAGCTGAGGAAGAGTTACGATCAGGAGAGAAAAATCAAGCCAGGCAGAGTCCTCTATGGGCAAGGCACTCGGAAGTGCCTTAACTGTCCTAACAGTCCCTGGTACTGAAACCAAGGCAAAAGCTCAATAACTTTAACCCGCTCCTGTGATCCTCAGTGCAATTGTTATTGCTGATCTCACTGAGGGAAAGGCAGACAGGCACTCTAAAAATCCCAGCCATTCCACCATACAAAGACCACATGTTCATCTCCCATTTTCAGTCCTTTTCTCATTCTGTTTTGCACTGTTTGCTTTCCCAGAAGTCTCTTCCACCTCTTTCTCCACTCCTCCATGGCTGGATGATGAGGAGGCGATGAGCAGAGGGGTTATGCAAGAGGAGGGAAATACAGGGGACAGTCCTGAACTGAAAATAAAACAAGTAAAAAAGTGGATAAAAAGCAGTGGATCAAATTATGTATCTGCTATTAATGGCTGTACAAAGAGCCCTGCAGTCCCAAACACGCAAAGGATTATAAATACCCAGAGAAATACTCTGTCTATCACCATAGCTACATATTTCCAATCATCTTCCACCTGCAAGAGAAGAAAAACAAAAAGGATAAGCTACATGTAATGTAACATGCAATTGCGTGTTGACATTATGCTGTAGAAATGTCCCTTGTGCTTCTGAATGTGAGGAAGGACACATTTGCAGTCAAGAATGCTGCCTGTTGTGCTTACAGTTGCTGTAGTTTTCAACTGTTAATAGAGGGGGTTGATTTTCTAATAGTATTTACCACTTTTGGCTGAGAACATTCAACACTGTCCTAGTCTGCTGAATTTTTCTGAATATTCAAGTTTGTTGGCAAGCTATGCCCGTGTGGCTCACATTAGCAAACAGGACCCGATCATGTGGTGGGTGCAGAGTGGGGTGGTTTAGCAGCAGGGATAATCACCACAGCTGCACATGACTAGACCCTGTCAAAGGATTTATCCTGAGAGCCCACGCAAGAGGCAGTTTGCTGTTCCGGCCTGATTTGCCACAGTGTCACTCCAATCAAGCCCCACTGATTTCAGCAAACTGGACAGCTGGACACACAGACTTTAGCAAAGCAAGGGCTCTGCCTGAGCAAACCACAGTGCCATGTGCTAAGAGATGAGGACTTTTATGTCTGAGAGATATACATTGGAACTACATTCAACGAAGCTGCTGTCCTTTAAACTGCACCCACATACAAGGACCACTGCACCAGAACATTCACTCATATAAAGCTAGTAACTGGTTAAGAGCTCTCTGCTGAGGGATCTTCCACTTGTTTTCCCAGTTTCTGGATGTTTTACTCCAACAGGCTGCTGCTGTACTTCCTGTACAAGAAAACGCAGCAAGAACTCCAGCTGATGTGGATGCTGCCACAGTTTTTAAAGGGCTTTTATTTACACAGAACTAGTGCACGGTATCACCCATATGGCTTTGTATATCTGGCTGAAGGAGAAGCAGCCTGCAGAATCATTTCCTCAGTGCTTGCCTGAGAACAAGCCCCCTTTCTTGCCCAAAGAGAGGATTTTTCTCAAATTAAAATCCTGCTTCCCATTCCTAGAATGTTTTGAAAGGTAAGACACAGAGCTGCTGATGCACAGATCAGACTAGGAACACAATTTCATGTGGCAGGAGAGATTTGCAAAATGCAAACCAGCAAAGCTGGCAATGGAAGACTTATCAGCTTTATCATCAAGGCGGCATGTTATTCGGACTGCTTCAGGCAAAGCCTCCTTTTTGGAGTGCATCGGAGAAATCAGCTGAATAGGGTACACAGATACGGTTTATGCAGCTGGTGTGGCAGCGAAAGCAGGGCTAAAACGTTGGCATCATCAGCAAAAAATTAAGGGCATAGGTACTAAGCAAGGCTCAGCTCAGTCCCCATTCTTCTCTGTGCCGACAGATTCCTGTCGTTTGCTTTAGGCTGGCATGGCATGTATTACCTGCTCATCCTACGAACTCAGCCACCAGGCCTTAACTGTAGCCCTTTATCCAGAAAATTGTGGGCTTTGTTTTCAGATAAAACGTTTTACGAAGGACATAAAAAGGGGAAAAAGCCCCATAATTTTGGGGTTGCACAGAAAGTGTATGAATTTGTGCGGATTTCAACAATATATTCTGATAGAAAGAATACTTCTCAACATCTCCCTCACAAAGTATTTCTGTTTTTCAATACAAATACAGCATTATTTAATTTTGAAATTGATTTTGCAGTCATAGAGCATCTAAAAAACTTCAAAACCAAAACCAAACTTTTCATGACAGATTGAAGATAAATGTTTCATTAGGTTCTAAACACTTTTTAAAAACATCTTGAATTGTGAGAGAATTCCTATTCCTTGTGAGGCCTGGGTGTGGGGGGATGTCACATAATCTTCCTTGGAGCTGCTTTTAGCTGCTTGTGTTTATAGCTGAGAACGCAGCCCCAGAATTCTCTACATTCCAACGTGCATCATTTTCTATGAGAAGATAGTCAGGATGAAAGACTTACAATCTCACACAAGAAAATTCATTAGTTCAAATGCCAAGTCTCATTTTTAAACCCATCTCCCTTTTCTTTAAATCTGTCTTTATGCATCTGCTGTCTGTTTTTATTCAGCTGTCTTCTCATAGAACTCAACTTTTATTTCAATATATGTTTGTCACAGCTGAAAATACCGTATTGCTGAAGACACAATTAGTCAAATCACTGTAAAAACATCAGAACACAGGAGACTGAAATAAAGTACAGACAACAGCATTCTGAGAGGAGTGTCTTCACCAGATTTATCACTGAGATACTGAGAACAGTTCTTCTCCCGATCAACTATGGCGCTGCTAGAAAAGCCCTGTTCTTTAAAAAGCAGTTCCCAAATTTGCTTGTTCTATTACTAATACAGAAAAGTACCCTGCCTGGGAAATAGCACATTTAGTATTGAGATGTCACTGATAATCAGGGGTGAGTAGTTGCTGAGCAGTGGAAGGGGGTTGCTTCTGAGGATCTACAGAATTAGGGTTGGAAGAGACCGTGAAAGGTCCTGTCTAGTCTATCCCCTGCCCCACGGCAGGATCAACTCTGCCTGAAACACTGCTGATCAAAGTTCATTCCTCGTGGCCGCCTGTTGCTCCTCTTCTTTTCCTTTGAAGGGTGAGCCTCATGTCTAATCTAAGACTGTTTTTCTGCTTAAATTATCCACTGGGGATAGAGGAAAAATGGATGAGATTACTTTTCTTATTCCATCCCCAGTGGATGATTTATCTCCTCCCTTTCTGTAGGAAACTTTCACCCATTCACAGGTCTCAAAATTTTCTTCTCTAGACCCAACCACTGCAGTTTCTCTGGGCTGCCCTCCTAGACAATATTTTCACTTGCTGGAAGTGTGGCCCCATGCCCAGGTAGGTGGTTACCTCCCTTACCTCTTTGGTTTCATTTTGAGACCTCATGTTCTCTGCAATGAACTGAACGCTTCTAATGACATCCTTCACTTCTGGGGAATACTCCGTGTGCTCTGCCACCCATTTCAGTGACTGATGGCTCAGTCGTCTTCTTTTGGTGGCAGTGAGTTCAGTTGCCTTCTCACAGTGACTGCATCGCTGCTCCTTGTGTAATTTGGTATCTTTATGTTTGCTGCGCTTTGACTTGCCCAATGTATTGGTTGATCCTTTCTTGGTTTTTCTGCAGATGTTTTTTTTCTGCTGTTCTACTGGCCTCTGCATCAACAGGACTTTGGGGAGCAGGCTAAGAAAGACAGTTTTTACCCATTTGGGCATTGTGTGTGTGGTTGGTGTCCTGTAATGTATATTCAGGACAAACACCGTGATGACAATTGACAGAGTCACAAATATCATAGTGAAGAGTAAATATTCACCTACGAGGGGAATTACTAAAGAGGTGGATGGGATTGTTTCTGTGATCACCAGTAAAAACACAGTCAAAGAAAGGAGCACAGAGATGCAAAGAGTCACTTTCTCACCACAGTCAGATGGCAGGTAAAAAACTAACACAGTCAGGAATGAGATGAAGAGACAGGGAATGATCAGATTTATGGTGTAAAACATTGGCAACCTTCGAATATAAAAGGAGTACGTTATGTCTGTGTAGATTTCTTCACAGCAGTTATATTTGATGTCATGTTTGTAGCCAGAAGCATCAACTATTTCCCATTCACTGTTTTCCCAAAATTCATTCATATCTACTTTTGATCCAATGATCAGAAGATCAATTTTGGCTTTGTCATAGGTCCATGAGCCAAATTTCAGCGAACAGTTCTGATGATCAAATGGGAAAAAGGTAATATCCATAGGACAGGAGCTTTTAAAAATAGCTGGTGGGGTCCAGGTGATCATTCCATCATAGCGAAGAAGGGCTTTGGTCTTGCCTTCGACTTGAAAATCTCCCACAGCACTATAAAGACAAATGAGGCAAAGAAAATAAAATTACCATGAAAGTAAAATGTTTTTCAAGGACATTGCAAGAGGATATTTTTGAAAGAAAGTGTAAAATGGAAAAGTGTTTATCATACTTATTATACAAGACAATATCTGGTTTCCAAATTTTATCTGCGGGTACCCGAACAAACTCAATGCCATCGTATTCTCTAGGATCCCATCGCAGTTTGTAGTCATTCCAAATCTGAAAGAAGAACAGACAAGGATTTTAAAACCTCCTATTATCAGCAAATACCTGCTTCTCAGATCTTCCTGTAATATAACAGGCTACAATAAAGACTGAAAGTGCAGCCTGTGTAGAATGGGAGAATGGTCTGAAACACACAGCCACGACCCGGAGAAACACTGGACATATATGAATATGGCTCACACTGATTTGCTACACCTTCCTCTGAGAGGGGATGCGATGCCAACTGTTACCCATTGCTGACATGCTGAGATCCCTCTGTCTTGCTACACCAGTGTAGACTCTTATCTGTGCCAGCTGACCTCCTCACCACAGAGAGGAAACTGCCACCATGCTAGTGCTCCTGGCAGGTTAAGGGCGGCCGGCACCAAAGCAGACCACCAACCTAAAGAGAAAGGAGGGATGCATGCGCACTAACAGGCAGTTGCTGCCAGGGGACATTATCCATTCCCCAGGGGTAGTGGATTACCAAGTCAGGGGCAGTGAAGGATGCCCAGCAGCTCTCTTGCATTGCTGTCTAATGCCCTACCATGGGCCACACTCCACGCTCTCGCAGCCTACCCTGAAGATCCTGATCATAAGTACAGTATCTTTTACAGAAAGCTTTGTGTGGACCACAGTCAGTGCCCAAAGGAAACTGGCTTTGGTGGAAGCTGGCCTGTTTTTCTCAGCAGTACAGGTCCTCTAAGGATCTTTGTCTATGTATAAATGCTAAAACCATCAGGAAAAATAGGAGGTATGTTCCTTTTGCTAATAAATGTTTTGGTTGGAATCTTCAATATGGAGATGACTTGGGACTGCAGAGCTGCATATTTAATTACTCTTTAATGGGTACATCCAGCTAGATTTACCGGATAAACCAATGATCATGAAGTTGGAGGAGAACACAACACATAGGAGAGACAGGAGACGTAACTTCTTGGAAATAAGAATAAAGAAATGACACTTTCAAATGTGCCTTTGGCTAATGGACCTTCTCCTCATTCATACCTTTAAAATCCTTGTTACAAAACAAGCACTTATTCTACAGATGAGGCTTACAAGGTAGTATACATTTCATCACATCAATGCAAAATGCATGAGAAATGCAACGCAGTCACTTACGTGTCTTAGCCACAAATTTGTTTCCATAATCTGGTTGACTTCATCCTAGAAGAAAACACACGTGGGCACATCTTCACTCCATAAATCAGTCACAGTATCCCGAGATGGCCACAAACTTATTCTGATAAAAATGGAAACTAAAATTCCACATTAACTGATACCAGATCTTTTTCTGGCTATTTTCAGGGGGCTTACATATTGTGCACAGTTATGCACAGCTTTACTGAAAAATTTTTAAAGCTGTACTGAAAAATTATGCCCCACAAACATCAGACCCACAAAGAGCTGCACTGGTTTGTGAGGGGCCTGAGTACCTGGAGAACACAAAACTTACAACTGCTCTGACCAGTGCCAGAGGAATAAGGTTCTGCTGGTGGCTGTGTGTTTTGTTGGATTCAGTGTTTAAAAAGCTCTGTTTACACAGTACAGTACTGGTCAAGATTTGAGGAAAATGGCATCTGTACCACAGTGTTCTTGCATTTCTATGCAAACCTCTAGAGCAGATACACTCAACCAGCACTAGATTAGGTCACTGCTGTACTGAGACCTTCTTTTTACAGTCAATTGTTGCTATTACCAATCAGCAATGAATCAGGAAGGTGTTGTAAGAGACAAAACCAAAAGACTGGATCATGTTCTAGTGAGCCTTCAGCCTGAAAGTATTCAGAAAGACTCACATTACATACATTTATGAATGCAGTCTGACATTCACAATAAAAATATCTGCAAGAATACTGCTTTGGGTACTTCTTAGTTTCTAAGCATGTGGACTCAAAAAATTTATGATATTTAGAAGTCAAAGGTAGAAAACGCTGTAGATGAATTTTCAACATTGTGTACTGAAGATTAAGCACAAAGATAATTTTGAAAGGCCTGTAGGGTTCCTGTCTATGGGTTAAACTATCAAAGCTCTTCTAAAAATCATGACTCTTTCTTAAGAAAATCCAACTGATTTATTTGTGATGTTCCTTTTTTTCTCCAAAGACAGCTCTGGGAGCCAGAGGCTGCAATATGAGACAGAACTGCCGAAACCTGCCAAGCTACCTGTAACATGGAAACAAAACACTTTGACAAAGGAACTCTAAAAGGTGACAACTGCCTTCACCATGAGGACTTACAATGCCTTCATTTATACTTTCAGATAACTTAGCTCCCTGGCTGCTGCAGAATGTTGCTCCTCACTGTTTGCCTGTCACTTCATTATGGACTCAACTAGGTACCTCAGAATCAAAACTCGGCCTCTGTTCTGTGGATAAGTTGCTTCACAGAGCAGACTTCAGCAAAGGTTAAGGTCAGGTTTTGCTTCTCGCACAGTCCCTCTGCCCTGCCCAGCATGTCTGCCACCCAGACACACTCACCTTTGTATACAGTGCACTCCAGAACACACAACATGCATCCCCAGCTCTGCGCTTTAAAACAAGGCTCTGGAGGCTGCATGACTCTCATGTTATTTTGAAACACTGAAAAAGCATGCAAAAATTTTACCTCTCATGACCACCGGGAAATGACACTGGCCCCACAGGAAAACTAGGCCACACGCCACACAGCATGGACACAACCAGGTGTCTCTGGAGTGGGCTAATCCTGCGGAGAATGGACCTCAACATTTGGTACTGCTGCTCTGGGTGCCAGAGGCTGCTGCCTGGAGTGGAGGGATTTGGCACTACAGAGAAAGCAAATGAACCTGTGTAGTTTGAATTGCTTGTTTGAGCAACTGGAGCGACTCAGTTGACAGAACAGCAAAGGTCTCAGCATGTGCACTTACGCACACATGACGATGTCAGCTATGAGAGTTGTAGGTGCAACCACTGCAACTACATGTGCTGCTTTAGCAATTTGCCGGTGTTTGCAACCATCCCCAAATCTCACCAGTATTCTGTAATGACTCTTACCACATTTGTAAGCTGGGTAATGGCCACTTCAAAATAGACTGTGACAGGATCAGACACATTTTCCACTGGCCTGATGAACTGGTTGTACTGGGAGAAGAGTTTGTGAAATAACCGTTCCTCTGATACGCAGGCTGTGGTATCTGTGTTGGTAAAGATAAAGAACAGCTATGTCAGAGGTAAGCAAGAGGGAAATCAGGTGCTGGAATAACATACTAGTCAATGCTGTATTTCTGGATCTTGTGCTGGCGACCATGAATCAAGACCCAGGATCACAGAGAGGAGGGCTGTAAGTATGCCGTCAGCTGAAACCACTGTTCCCTGTCTCCTCAAAGAGTAAGGTGTAAGCCTGAATGGAAGCGTCTCCTAAGCTGCATCCAGCCCATGGGCCTCCACTTGACTCACCCTGATATCAGGACAAAGTAGAGTAAGGTGGTGTGACACAGAAAAAGTAGAAATGTGGTGGAATTCATCTTCGGGATTTTTTATGGTAAAACTGACATTTTACAAAAAGCATAGCTACTTACTCAGAACTTAGAAACATGAGGCTGCAACTACTGGATCAAAATCTATGTCAGAGTCTCTGATCAGGTGATCATAATGATGCCTCCTAGTTGCAGAAACCAAGACTACATTTTATCTTCACGTTTGCTATTTCCGCTCTTTAGAGAGTACAATTTCTGCTCTGCAGGAAGTTAATTGATTAAGTTCTACCAGGAAAAAAGTGGAAATTCAAAAATTTCTTCTAGAATAGCATGCATCTTTGTAATATAGAGCCATTAGTTGGAAACAAGCAGATCACAGCTGTAAGTCCCAGTCAATGCAGGACAGACTGCATGGCTTAGCAGGAATAAGGTATATGACAGGCACTGAGCTGCCTCACTGCAGAGTCACAGAATCACAGAATCACAGAATGGTAGGGGTTGGAAGGGACCTCTGTGGATCATCTAGTCCAACCCCCCTGACGAAGCAGGGTCACCTACAGCAGGCTGCACAGGACCTTGTCCAGGCGGGTCTTGAATATCTCCAGAGAAGGAGACTCCACAACCTCCCTGGGCAGCCTGTTCCAGTGCTCCGTCACCCTCAGAGGGAAGAAGTTCTTCCTCATGTTCAGACGGAACTTCCTGTGCTTCAGTTTGTGCCCATTGCCCCTTGTCCTGTCACTGGGCACCACTGAAAAGAGTCTGGCCCCATCCTCCTGACACCCACCCTTCAGCCCAAAGCTGAAATAGTTATTTTCACAGTGCTAAAGGCTGCAGAAATTGATTTCAAAAGGAAATGTTAAATCATGTGGACTCTGGCAACCTCAGCTCAGAAAAATACTTTTCTTGAATAACTTTGCTATTTCAATGTACTACTATAATTCAGCACTTAAATTCAAAATACTTTAAGTGGCAAAGATTTAGAACTTGCTCCTCATATTGAGCACAGACGCTTTATCAAAGCTATATGATGATGCCAAAGATATTACTGATACAACTGAGGAAAAATTAGTTTTTCAGATACATAGTCATAAGCTTTTGCATTAGTCCTAGGCTGCACTAGAACATGTCCGGAAAGCAATCATGAAAAGCCTTTTTTGACTGTAAATATTAAAGATGGAAGGGGTTTGTGTCAGGCAGCATGGTTTCTGGCACAGCACAAGACATAAATTTGCAATTTACATTTCCTTCAGTGAACACAAGGGCTTGTGGTTGCACAGACATCCTACAACGAGATGCTCAGGCTCAGCATACTGCACTGTTTTCACACTTAGGCCGTTCTTCCCCTGTTTTTGAAAAAAATGACATTTCTGCCTCTAAGGTGATAAAGCACGCTCAGATTCAGGGGATTATCACAATTAAAAGCTGAAATGCTGGTTACTGGTGACGTACATACACAGAAAGAAAATTCTAGTAAAACTTCCACGACTTGATGTTTTGTTTCATCCTTTTAGCATGATCCAGAGAAGATACATGAATGCCTGTAAAGTCTGGATATTTATATACCATGTATTGTGCCATTCAAAAAGGAAATTGGAATTTCCTTTTCAGATTTCTTCATCACCATCTATTGTGCTGTGACTAGAAGTACCCTACTGTGGGAACATGAGTTTCTTACCAGTCTCACGACTAAAGCTGGTGCGTCTAAAACCATGTTTCATTTGAAATTTTCCTACTGGCTTCTTAACAGACACGTGCTTTAAAATAAAGTAACAGAAATAGACAAGTATTTAGGCCTTTAATTTTTATACTTCACCAGCTAACACAAGCACTCTAATTCATACATGTCTGGGTCATCAGAAGCGAGACTTTCAAAAAAGATGTAGTGTCTTAAAAGTAAAAATCCTGCTGTACATCAGTGAGACTTGTGCAAGGAAATCACTCCAGCATATTTAACCACAGATCACAAACAACAGAGAACAAAAATATACCAAGTTCTCACTTTTGAAGGTGTGAGTACTGAATGTGCACATCTTCAGTCTGCATTATTTAAGCAACTGCAAAATTCAAGCACCAAATGCTTGAAAAGTCCTATTTCATTTTCATTCTTTGCTAGAAACAGTTCCTCAATTAGTTATCAATCCAAAATGAAGAGTTTTATCTGTAAAAACCAGTACTGCTTTAGCTCTCTTAAAATACTGCTGAAATGTTACAGATCTGAGGTTAGAAATAGCTGGTAGAAGCTTTACATTGAATTCATTTCAGGAAACAGAAGCAAGGACAATAACTAGAAACTATTTTAGAGACTAGTATCAAAGAGAGCCTACCTTTAATCAAGAATGTGAACACGAATGCCCACAGAGAGAAAGCAGGGTAGCAACAAGATAGCCACCTCTCAGGATGCATTGCTAGCAGCAGAACGGAGCTTCCTTTCGAGAAGAGAAGTTTAGGGAAAG